TATCTCTACGGAACCACAACTATAACAATTCAATACAATATATCTCTACGGAACCACAACTATAACAATTCAATACAATATATCTCTACGGAACCACAACTATAACAATTCAATACAATATATCTCTGCCGCTTCATGAATCTAAAAAAAAACATGGAGAAGTTCAGAAGCAATACAAAAATGCTGGAGACAAATCTGCTCCCTGAAAAGTTTACCAAATAATTATCTTAAACTTGGTAACGTCTAAAATATAGTTTAGGCCTAGTGTATATACATAGCACATAGCTATCCTATGCTGCCAAGTTTTTAAAAGATGAGCCTGCTTTGTTTCTTTCATTGAAGATCTTTGTCTTCACAAGAGCAATCTGCTCTTTCAGTGAGAACTTACTCTCTTCCGATTCCCTGAAAATTGGATGCTTGTCAAGAAAGGCCATAATATCAGACTTTCCTGGCAGAGAGCCTTTGAACCCTACGGAAGAGGTATCTTGAATTGTTTCTCTAAAAAACTCTTTCACCAGCCTTGTGTTTTCGATAGACCACCTGCAGTATCTTCTCCCTTTCGTTGCTCCTATGGCCTCATTCTTCTTTCTGCTTTCATCAGACAAATCTGGGAACTCTTCAAGCTCTTCGGGAGTTGGCTGTTGAGCAGTCACTTCTGTCTCAGACTCATTTATGTGACCCTGTCCATTGTTTTCTGTTGATTGGAATTCACTGCTGGCTTCTGTAACTGTTGTGGGATTTGCTGTAGCAGTTGTTGACACTGGCAGCTTACTACGTGTAGTAGAGGGCTCATCAACTGCCTTTAGGAAACCACCCACATTGACAACTTCTCCAATGGAGAGAGGGCATTGATAAACATGCTTGTTAATAGCTTCTGAATGACCCACGTGTCTGTAGAATGTTGCTCGTTCATTTTCTGGTAGGTCTAAGACAGCAAACAGAGTTGACATTCTGTGTCTAAATTTGTCTGCTATCAAAAGCTTTGGTTTTTCCAGTTCAGGACCCATAATTTTGATGACAGCTTTTATGCATTGCCAGGCAACAGCATGGTCAAGGGAAGTTCCAGTGTTTGCAAAAAGGAATGGATTGGCCTCTAGTACTTCCACTTCTTTACGTTATTCAACCAACTTCATGATCGGCTTCACAGTGTCAATGGGAATCAATATGGGTACCAGTTTCTTTGAACCTTTTCCAGCCTGGTATGCCAAATTAAATTGTTTGAAAAGGGCTTTTTCCAGTGGATCTTTGACGGTTTGAACAAGTAGAGGATCAACCCATGAGTCATTGGCAGCCTCTTCCCATTCCTGCAGGGTTAGCCTCGCAGGCTCGCCTCCTCTCCTGGCATTGAACATTGTCAATCTACTAACAATTAAATTCCGCATGTTCACAAAATCGTGGAGATCCCAGTTCTTGAACTCACCACCTGACAAATTGTGCTTCTCATTCAAAATGAACACTCTCAACTTGGAAATATCTTCCTCAGTCGGCGTTGCCCGTAGTTTCCTCAGTGTGTTTCGTCTTTGCTCACACATGACTTGTGCAGTGTAAAAGATGTAGTCCCAATTGAGATCCAGTACTGCAGAAAACCTGTCAGTCTCCTCTGATTTCTCTATTTCACCAGCTTCAATGTAGCTTCCTTTGGCAATCTTTATCATTTTCTTCAGCAACAAGTCTATCTTGAGCTTTGAGCCAGGTGTCACTTCTCCATGTTCTCCTGTAGTGAGACCTCTGATAGAATCACACAGCGTATCAAAATGCTCTCTTTCTACTACAGTATCATACGGTATCAAAATACTCTCTTTCTACTACAGTATCATAGGGTATCAAAATACTCTCTTTCTACTACAGTATCACAGGGTATCAAAATACTCTCTTTCTACTACAGTATCATAGGGTATCAAAATACTCTCCTTCTACTACAGTATCACAGGGTATCAAAATACTCTCCTTCTACTACAGTATCACAGGGTATCAAAATACTCTCTTTCTACTACAGTATCATAGGGTATCAAAA